TTTCTGGTGGAGGAGTGGCTTTTCCACCAGCCCCCAAACCCCAAGAAGTCATTGTATTGCGATAGAAAAGGGAAATTTAATACCAAGTATTTTTAACTGGGTGTGGGAGGAGGAAGATGGAGTCTGATGTGACAGTAGAATGATCACAGGTGGGTAATGACATATGTAAATGCGTTCATTTGGTAATTTCCTATTTACACCATTAACATTTCACGCTAACCCCACATCACCACTGCATTTGGGGGAGAGTTTCTTTTTTATTCCTATATGTCAATTCTGAAATATTAAAAGCAATTAAGAACATTTTGCTATCACCATTTTTCACAGCTTTGTGTATTTATTCCAGACTCATTTACCATAACTGACCTCTCCCAAAGTACGGCAGAACCACACCTCTCCACATTTAAAAGCCACTAGTAATTGCTTCCATCCAGCAGGGAAGCAGGTCCCCACATCCTCTACATTCTCTACAGGAACAGTTCCCACAAATCTAGACTACCAAGCCAAAGCACTAAGGCAAGAATGAGGAAATAGAGATGGCTTCTAGCTGGGAAATCAGCAAGGACTTCCTGGAGGAAGTGATAGGGACACAGAAGCTTGAAGGGAAGTGAACTGCATGGGAAAAGGGGTGGGTGTGAGGCAGAGCATGACCAATGACACCATGGCAGGGGCGGAGCCATGCCAGCCCACGGAGCTAGAAACAAGGCCAAAAGCAGGAGCCAGAGAAACAGGAAAGGCCAGCAGAACTGCAGCATGGTAGAACTACAGCATGGTACACAGGAGAACACCTGGGCCAGCCAGGTCCCACCAATACCCAGGGATGACTGGTTGCTTGGGGTTTCATGAAACTTTTCAAATGCACCCAAAGGTAGAGGTAACGAACGCATTAAACCCATTTGATACCATCTAGGGGTCTTGGGTCCTTTCTGTCCTCTACCAAATAATTATGAGGTAGGAAAAGTGGTAGCAGAGGCAAAGTTTATTTAGAGGGACTGAGGAAAACCTCCTAGCTACTGGCCGGGAGATACAAGCCCTCAGCTAGGAGCCAGGGCTGGGTGACCTTATGCTGTGTGAGGTCTTTTCCTCCTGCTTCCTGTGGTGGGAGGGGAAGAGGAGGAGGAGGGGGAGGAGGTTGCAGACTTCTCTCCAATGTTGGTGGCTCACACCTGTAATCCTAGCTACTGCAGAGGCTGAGATCTGAGGATTGAAGTTGGAAGGATCACAGATCTGAGGAAATTTATCTCCCATTTGGAGCTGTGGCTCAAGTGGTAGAGCACTAAGCACTAGCCTTGAGCAAAAAGAGCTCAGAGACAGCATCTAGGCTGAAGCTTAGACCTGGACAAGAATAAAATACAGACTTCCGAGGGTGAGAGGAGTCGTCTTGGTAATTGGTTGCCCCATGTAGCACTCAGGGGGACTCAGAGGGTCTCCTTTTCGCATCCCTTTTGGGTGAGTCTCAGCTGTTCCGGCATCTGTTTGGGTCACTGTCTCCACTGCAGTTGCTGTGGGGGGAGAAGGGGCTTGCTTCCTGCAAGGCATGATTGCCCAGAGTCTTCAGGAAGGGCATGTCTCCCTCTTTCCCTTTTGTCTCCCGCTTACATTCACAAGTAATCAACAAAGATAACATGCGGCCATACCATCTGTTTGCTATATTACTTTACCAAGACAGAAACCCCCTCTGTATTCCATCATATCAGAATCATGAGCAGAATCACATCATATCACAATCAGAACCAGGCCCAGTGGTTCATGCCTACAATCCAAAATACTCAGAAGATAGCACTAGAAAGATCCGTATGTGTCCCGCCTACACCAACCTTTAGTAAGACCATCTCCAAGAACAAGCCAGGTGTGTTGAGGTTACACAGGGGAAGCACTGGTAGGATGATTTTGGCCAAGGCCAGCTTGAGCAAAAGCAGACCGTATCTGGCAAGTAGAACACCTGGCTAGCAAGTGCAGGACCACCTTAGGAATCCTTGTATCCTTCAGGAGAAGATGGAGTGGGAAACCAATAAGCTAAAGCTGCAGTCACACATGGATCACTGGTATGCTCAGAAATAGGACAGCCGTTCAGCGGCACCTGGGCCACAGCAAGTGCCTTTGTCACCAGGAGCAGACCTGAGCAGGCCCACAGAGAAGCGGGAGTGGACGGAGGCTGAGGATGTGAGCAACGAGGGGTATAAAGGTGGCCGTCATCTCAGTGAACAGCAAATGAGCCCTTCTGTGCCCTCCCCTACCTGGAGTGCGTAAGCTAAACGAACCCAGAAAAATGAAATGACTCAAAGGAGATGGAGGAGGGCGCCAGCCGGGACTATGGGCAGAGCTAGAAAGAGGCAGGGAGGAGAGACAGACAAAGCATCTCAAGACAAAGGCCATGGATGAACTCACCAAAAATGGCACAGGAGCTTCATTTTATGGGGTGAGGGAGTGTATGGAGCTCACAAACTTCTAAATCCTTCTAGACATCCAGATTGCTAATGTTGCCGGACACGGTGGCTCACGCCTATAATCCTAACTACTGAGGATCACAGTTCGAAGCCAGCCAAGGCAGAAAAATTCCAGTGAAACTCTTTATCTCCAAATAAATTACTTTAGAAAGCCAGAAGAGGCCCTGTGGCTCAGGTGGTAGAGCACTAGCCTTGAGCACAGAGAGGCTCAGGGACAGCACCCAGGCCCTGCGTTCAAGCCCCAGAATTGGGAGAAAAAAAAAATGTTAAGAAGACTGCTAATGCTTTACTGACAACAGCTTCCCTGAATGTTTTTCCTAGAAACTAAAACCCAAGAGGATATAACTAAAATAATCATTATGATCAGTCAGAACGTGTCTGCATTAGATCCAATAGTTCAAGTGTGGTGACAAACGGGCAAGCGCTGCCCATTTCGCTTCTGCTCCCTGAAAGCCTCACAGTGCTCCATCTGACTTACAGCATTACACGGAGACATCACTGAAGTCATCTCTTTTCTTCTAAATTCAAAACCAAACAATCTGGAGGTTAGAAATAAACAAATGCGCTGAAAACAATGGCCTCAGAACTGGAGGGACTCCAGCACCTACTAATTTCTCACCAAGGTCATTGCAAGCTGCCAACGGCTCACCCACAGCTCCTGCATACCTCAGAGGTGTGTTCCCCCTTGATGAGTAAACTAAAGTTGCTAAAGAAACCCCTAAACTGTGAATTTTGTGCCACTTGCTAGAATTTGGATCTGAGAGGCTCATAAGTTAAAGGCCTGGTCCTGAGTGGTGCTCCGGAAGGTGGTAGGAACCTGAAAGGAGTTCTGCCTAGCGAGCAGTCTTCAGATCACCACAATGCCCTAAAGGAGCGAAGGAATCTGGTCTCTTCTCCTTGGCACCTGGACACAGAGGCTTTGGTGGGCCACACGCACCCGGCACCATGCGCTGCCTCTTCACAGGCCCCAACTGGTGCCGGCTGAAACCTCCAAACACGGAACCACGGAAGTGTTTCTCTGCACAAACGGATTATTTCAGGCATTTATTTCAGTAACAAAATGCTGGCATTCCATATTCACACATTTAAGCAAGTTTATAAATATGGAGATCTGATCTTAGCTCATCCTTCAAACTCAGGTTGTGAAAGATGCCAGGTTAAGGAATTCCTTGTCCAAAATGCTTAAAACTTTGTTGGGATTTGGGATCTGAATTTTTTTCTCCCTTTTTGGAGCATTTCGGATTTGGGGTTTTCATAGTAGGGATGGTCAACTTCTAATGATTCAGAACTAACACACTAAGGAAAGACCTTAAGTGAAAACAATTATATACAGGATAATCTCAAAGTTCCATACAAAAACGTATTTCAAAATGTTAATACCAATTATCTTTCAGTGAGAAGGTTAGAATTTTTTTTCTAATTTCCTTCATGGTCATATGCTTACTGGGAAAGGAACTATATCCACTGTGGTTTAGCATGTCCCCTTTTACTTGGGCATTCTTTTACTTTCTTTTCAGTGGTAGGCTGGCTAGACTGAATCAGAAAGTTGAATTTGTCATTTTTTTCTGTGGTCCCTTCCTGTCCTATATATTACCTGATTTCATTGTCCTTGATGCAAGGAATACAGCCAAGGAAACAAGAGGCTCAAATGGTTGGCCCCCCAGGTTACATGGCTAATAAAAGTTACCCCTGTTTCTGCTCCCAGAGACTTTCCTTGAAAACACTGGGAGAGAAGCTCTGCTCAGAACTCCTTTGATGACGTTCCCACTGTGTGCTAGGAGGCACTGTCCTAGCTTCAACCATTAGAACGCCCCTCACTTGACTGGAACCACAGGGACCATGTGGGACAAACATGCTAGGCCCAGGCACTGACCCGGATGCCCACAGGCCTCTCTGGCTTGAAAATGCTTGAATGGGATAGGACTCCTTGATGCCGCTCCCATGCTACAAGGAGACAAGGAGAGACTCTGAAAATGCCGTTCACACACCTGTTGCTCCTGCAGCATTGCTGGCAAAGCCACAGGGCAGGTTCCACATCAGCTTCTGTTGCTTCTCCCTGGAGAGGTGGGAAGACCCTTGAGGCAGATGGCTGTAGGAGGATCTCTTCCTCTTGTGCAAGTCTTCAAATAGTTCTGACACATAATTGAACTGACCAGCTTTTCCAGAGCATGGTAAGCACTCGTTTCAAAGACAGAACCACATAGTAAGCAGCGAAAATGTTTAAGATCTTCTTACAATCCAGTATTAAATATTGTCCAAAGTATTAAAAGTGACATTTTTTAAGTCAAAAATAGTGAATTTTAACATAGAGAACAAGATAGTTTGGAAAGTTATCCCAGCCTCTTATCAAAACAAAAACTCCTAAATTCTGACTCTAGCAAGTATTATAAAATGGCTTTAAAGTGTAAATGAATGACAATTCCTCTTTAGCATAAAATGTAACTGCAGAAATAATTTTACAACTCTTCTCATTTAAGAAGGGCCAAAAAACAAAAAAGGAGGGAGGGAGGGAGAGAGAGGAGAGAGTGAGAATGAGAGAGACAGGAAGAGAGAGGTGGGTGAGAGAGAGAGAGAGAAGTGGGTGAGGCAGGATGGGAGGAAGAGCTCATCTGTTAGAACTGGTAATGGCCAGCTTTGACTCCACCTCCCACAGCTTCCTTTGCAAGGCTACCAAGACATCTTCCATCTAGTGGGCAAGAAAGAATATAAAGAAACACAAATGTGATTAAAAGTATACATGGCCAAGTAAATAAAATATATTATATTTTGAATATAATACATTACACAGCAGCTGTGCAGTATTTAACGAAACTTTAAGTAAGGAATAACTCTGTTAACAGTAGTTTTCAGCCTACAACCCCCAGCTACATAAACACCACTATCCTATCTTACCCATCTGCTGATAATGCTAACACTCCGCAACAATGCTGCTTAAACCAAGCAACCAAACGAATACTAGTTTCAAAGCTAGGTTTCTAGTTGACTGTTTTAAAAGGACTGCTTTGATCTTGGCATGCAATGTCTTTGTTATTTTGTTGATGCAGCTTTGGCTTCAGTCATAGATTGTCCTCCCCCTCAAACAAAACAACGTTTAGTAAGAAGTGAAATAAGGGCTGGGAAGGTGGCTCAGTGGTAGAGTGTTTGCCTTGCATGCAGGAGACCCTGGGTTCGATTCCTTGGCACCACATAAGCAGAAAAAGCCAGAAGTGGCACTGTGGCTCAAGTGGTAGAGTGCTAGCCTTGAGCTGAAGAGCTCAGGGACAGCGCCCAGGCCCCACGACTAACCAAAAAAAAAAAAAAGAAGTGAAGATCAGAGACACATGAGCCATTATGTGGAAGACCCTGTGTTCACTAACAGGAAGTAAATATACATAGAAAATCCAAAGAAAATTACCTGCTTTAGAGACTTTTCTATTTCAACTCTGCTTTCAAGATTAAAAAGCTCTTTATCTTCTGGGACCATTTGCTTTTCAGAGGACCCTAAAGTATAACTGAAGTACAAGGCAGATTAAAATAGGAGATGGGAACAAATACTAAGCAAGTACCAAGCTCTATTATGCCACATACTAGCACCAAGTTAGGATTGAAGCGGCTACGTTTGATAATGGCCACCTGCCTAGAAAGCTGTCTGTCCTACACAAAATCACATCTTTCCCCCAAACCACCTTGTCCAGATTTTGCTATTAATTTTCCATCCATGGGCAAGTATAAAGATCCTGAAGCCACTGCTTCCTCACTCTAACAAACTTTTCAGCAGTGTGGGTTTTCACACGGGGACTTCAGTCATCTGTGATGCCAACTCCTTTCATACTACACACATTCAATGAACAAAGGCCAACTCTTGATTATCTCCAACACTTATCATCACGTTATTCAACTTTATGGTGGCCACCATGACTACCTAAAATACTTGTACTTTATCTAAACCAGTCTATTCATATATGAAAACCCAAAGAGATCTCTCTTCAGATATACCTCCACACTTTACAACAATGAACAGTACTTGTTCCACTGTTCTTCTGTGTAAGAGAACTATAGAAAAAAAATGTAAATTATAAAATTTTAATTAAATCTGAGTAGTTTTCACAAAATCATAGCAAAACTGCAATTCTCAAGGAATATGAAAAATTCAACAGTCATGATGGAAGTATTTAAAGCACAGGCACTTTTTTAAAAGGCCAATGGAGTAGAAGGCTATTAAAATCTTTATCCGATGTCTGTCTTCATGTCTTTGTTTGCAATTTCCCAACACTGATTTTCTTAGAAATCTCAGGAGAATGAAGTATATTTCCTTGCATTTTGCCAAAACAAATGATGAACCAAAAAAGGGAGAGTGAGGAAGTAGGAACCAGCTAGAGTTTGAATTTAGTTTTCCCAATATGAAAAGGACTTCTTTCCTAACCCATTATGAAGTTCTTATGCTTCCTAGTATTCTCAGAGGCTACTAACTGGGAATAGGCGAGGGTGGTCAGCATAGATTGACCCACACAATTACTTTATAAAAACCTTCTGTATGTGCTGGCATATGTCTTCAGGATTGTGAGGCCAACTTGAGTTACATGAGACTATCTCAAAAAGCAAAACAACAAAATCTTACTTAACTACATTTTATTTTTTAAAACAACTGGATAAGCCAGACACTGGTTGGTCACACCTGTAGTCCTTGCTACTTATGAGGCTAAGATGAGGATCCTGGTTTGAAGCCAGCCCAGGCAGGAAAGTCCATGATTCTTATCTCCAATAAACTACTCAGAAAAAATTAGAAGTAGCACTGTGGCTCAAGTGGTAGAGTGCTAGCCTTGAGTCAAAGAAGCTCAGGGACAGTGTCCAGGCCCTGAGTTCAAGCCCAAGACCAGCACATACATACACACAAACAACTAGATATATTTCTACTCCAAAACAATTTCTTCTATAATTTAGTGTCTGAGTGTCCCAGTAGTAAGTAAATCAAGTCAAAAATAAACAAAAACAACTCCACTGGCTTTACTGTTTGCAACTGAAATATGTATTAATAGTTCAGTTGTTTTCATGCCTATGTCCCCATAAAACTGAACTTTCTGGGAAATCTGTTATGAGGTAGTCATTTATGTAAGGAACCTACCTTTCAATGGCTTCAACACTGAGACAAAACAAGCCCCTCTTGTAATCTAGGTTCTTGGGAGTGCATCTGTATATGTAGCCCAGGTTGAGGGAGCAGCCGGTACAGTACAGAGTCTCCAGAATGCTATCATAAGGAAATGACATGCCATCACTTTAGGCGACCAAGCAGCAATTTGTTATTATATTTTTTTAATAAAACAGAAAACTACCACAACAAAAACTTGGGTAAAGTCCATAAGCCTTTCAACTCTCAAGTTCTAACGTATGTTATTCTGACCATAGTTAAATTATATAAATGAAGGAGAAAAGAAGGGTAAAATGCTAAAATGCAACAAAAATACAAAGACAGCTGGGTGCCGGTGTCCTAACTACTCAGGAGGCTGAGATCTGAGGATCAAAACCAGCCTGGGCAAGAAAGTCCATGAGATTCTTATCTCCAGTAAACCACCAGAAAAACGCAAGTGGTGCTGTGGCTCAAGTGCTAGAGCTGAAGAGCTCAAAGACAGCACCCATGACCAAAAAAAAAAATACAAAGACAGTCATCTCCAGACCACACTGTCTTGGGCATCTAATGACAGAAGGGCAGGGTGACAAGAAGAAAGAATAATGAAGTGGCATTTTCTATTTGGTATTAAGGAAAAGTACCTACAATTTGAAAATAAGACATAAAGACAAGTCCTTTTGATGTCATTAACAACCAACTAAGGGTCATTAACACTCTAGGGCAGAGACAGACAAGTTTTGACTACAATAAACCAGAGAATAAATAAACATTCTAGGCTTTTAGGCCATCTAGTGTCTATTCTAAGTATTAGCTTTGCCATTGCAGTGCAGAAGCAATCACAAAGCACAACTGAATAACCCATGTTCATTAAAGTTAGAGGGTGGCTGGTAGAAAGGAAAAGAAGTCAAAAATAACTGCAGCCAGGCGCTGGTGGCTCACACCTATAACCCTACCTACTCAGGAGGCTGAGATCTGTGGATCATGGTTCAAAGCCAGAGTAGGCAGGAAAATCCGTGAGACTCTTATCTCCAATTAACCACCAGAAAACTGGAAGTAGCATTGTGGCTCAAGTGGTAGAGCACCAGCCTTGAGCTGAAGAGCTCAGGGACAGCACCCAGGCCGAGTTCAAGCCCAATGACCAACCAAAAAATAAATAAATAACTGTGGTCCAGGAGAGATATGAATATTTCTGGTGAAAGAAAGGCTAATCCAAAGGTTCATTTTATTGTCCTCCAGACATTAACTAGATTTGCCATATAGGCCAGTGTCCTCGGAGCTGGCTCTGCCATGTTCTGCTTCGTATAAACTGATGATCTGTTCATTCTGTAATATTAGAATCCTTTTTCTTAAACAAAATTGTATTTTGACACAAATACTTTTCTATCAGTTACTGATATGTCCTACACAGATGATTCACAAGGTTTTGCTTAATGAGTCATCCATCATTTCTCTTCACAAATGTTCCTTTATTCTAGATCCTTCTCAAGTTGCACACGCTCATTTTCTTTTTATTAGCATATATTAACTGTACAAAGGTTTCATTGTAATGTGTCCATACACATGTATACTTTGATGAGTTCACCCTATTACTGCTCTTTACCAGCTCCCCCTCTAGACAATTTTAATGGGTTTCATTGTTCTCTTTTCAAATATGCACAGGAAATGGCTCAATCATATTCACCTCGCCTCTCTTTAACTCTCTTCTTTCACCCCAACTAGCTGATTCCAGGTCCCATTCCAAACTGGTCAAGTTCCGCACATTTGAATACACTCTCCCTCCACGCCTACACAATGTCTTCTTTAAACCTGTCTTGGAATGCACACTCTCCCATAGCCTTGAATTGGTCCATCCAAATTTACCATTCTATAAACACTTAAAATTACAGTCCCAACATGTATCAAATTGATGGCTACTAGATATTTAGTTGTAGTATTAATTATAGTAGTAAAATTTCACAGTAGTGAAAAGATTATTGAAAAGTATATTAACCTTGCTATGAGAACAACTTGCCATCACTAAATACCTGTTCCTTTGGTCAAACAAGAGACCCATCTTACAGATTACATTACTGAAAGACGTTGTGACATATACAATACAGACCAAAATGGATCACCAGTGGGGCAAGCTGTAAGTTTTCACTGCTGATATAATCAACTAGGTAAAAAATATGCCAATGATTTTATATTAAGCTTCTATAGGATTTTCTTAAACTTCTACATAAAAAAAGTATCTCAGCAAATCCCAAATAGAGAAACCCACTTATATTATGAACAGTGAACAGACAGACTTCCATGCAACATTACCCCACACACAATTAAGATTGTGACTGAGTGCTGGTGACTCATGCCTATAATCCTATCTATTTAGGAGACTGAAATCTGAGAATCACAGTTCAAAACCAGCCCAACTGGGAATGAGGCTTAGTGATAGAGTACTTGCCTGCCATGCATGAAGCCCTGAATTCAATTCCTCAGTACCACATTAAAAGGAGAGGGAAAAGGCCAGAAGTGGATCTGTGACTCAATTGGTACAGTGCTAGCTTGGAATAAAAGAAGCTCAGGGACAGTGCCCAGGCCTTGAGTTCAAGCCCTAGTTCAAAACAAAACAGCACAAGCAGACAAATCTGAGGCACTTATCTCCAACAGAAAGTCAGAAGTAGAGGTGTGGCTCAAGTGGCAGAGTACCAGTTTCGAGTAGAAAAGCCAAGCAAGGCCGGGCGCTGATGGCTCACGCCTGTAATCCTAGCTACTCAGGAGGCTGAGATCTGAGGATCGCGGTTCAAAGCCAGCCCGGGCAGGAGAGACCATGAGACTCCTATCTCCAATAAACCACCAGAAAACCAGAAGTGGCGCTGTAGCTCAAGTGGTAGAGCGCTCGCCTTGAGCTGAAGAGCTGAGGGACAGCACCCAGGCCCAGAGTTCAAGCCCCAGGACCAACAAAAAAAAAAAAAAATCAATTTCCTTTGCAAGCCTACCAATACAGATTATAAAAAAGAACTAAGCTGGGGGCTGGGAAGGTGGCTCAGTGGTAGAGTGCTTGTCTTGCATGCATGAGGCCTTGGGTTTGATTCCTTAGCACCACATAAACAGAAAAAAGCTTAAAGTGGTGCTGTGGCTCAAGTGGTAAAGTGTTAGCCTTGAGCTGAAGAGCTGAGGAACACCACGACCGACAAAAAAAAAAAAAAACAACTAAGTTTAGGGCCAGCTCTGGTGCTTCAATTATAAGTTCAGCTAACACAGGAAGGAGGACTAAAAACATGAAGCCTGCCGGGTGCCGGTGGCTCAAACCTATAATCCTAGCTCCTCGGGAGACTGAGATCTGAGGATCATGGTTCAAAGCCAGCCCCGGCAGGAAAATGGGACTCTTATCTCCAACAAACTACAAAACACCAGAAGTGGTGCTGTGGGTAGAATACTAGACTTGAGCTTAAGAGCTCAGGGACAGCACCCAGGCCCAGAGTTCAAACCCTACAACCAACAATAAATAAATAAATAAATAAATAATCCAAGCCAATCTAGTGGCACAGGTGGTACACCGACACAGGAAATGAAGTGAAACAGAGAGAAATACCCACTTCAAAGGAAGGAAGGAGACATGCAAATACTGTCCTAGCTTAGCACTAATTCCTTAATACCTTAGCAAAACTCTCACATCCCCAACCTTGTTCATTCACAAAATAAAAAATGCTTTAAGGCTGAGTTTGACTTTTCCAAATTTCAATCACTTCCATGCTGACAGCACAATTTCCGTCACAGCTACTTATCACCTCTGCCACATTAAAATTACAATTATCAATTTTCACTTATGTATGCACCACCTAAAGTTATTTCTTCTACCCTAGTAAGATGTATTTTTGTATTTGGGGCAACAATTATCTAAGACAAAGCATCCAGGCTGGGAAGGTGGCTCAGTGGTAGAATGCTTGCCTTGCATGCATGAGGCCCTGGGTTCGATTCCTCAGCACCACATAAGCAAAAAAAGCCAGAAATGGCACTGTGGCTCAAGTGGTAGAGCACTAGACTTGAGTTGAAGAGCTCATAGACAGGGACAACACCCAGGACCAGAGTTCAGGTCCCACTACCGAGGATGCTCCCTGAAGCTGATAAGTGACAGGACTCCTGAGAATTTCACAGGCAAGGGTTGGTGGCCCTAGGCTGCCCTGACTGACTTATCCAATAGGCTGTGTATGTAATTATTTTCTATGTGTGCCATGATACAAGAAAGCTGGGTAGCACCTTTTGACCCTGAAATCCTAAAATAATGAATATTTTTTTCTGTTTTCAATTTTCTTCAGCACCAGGTCCAAAACCCCCAAAAGGTAGCATCAGAATATGCCTTTAGTAGTTTAGGAACCTTTATTTCACTATCTAAAAGGGGCCACCACCAGTGAAGAACTGATATATTTAAATGAGTGACTTTACACTGATGTGACTGCCATGAAAAAGACTGATCCCATGTAATCTCGAGGGGAATGGAGCGATTTCCACTTGAAAGTAAATAATATCCTAACATAACATTCCTTACTCCACTTACCAACCATCTTCATCTTTGCGTTTGGATAATTTCTGTTCCTTATCCACAGAAACATTACAGGAGACACCTAGAAAGTAAGGGACAACATTGTATTAACCTGATCTGTTATAATACACATGCAAACATTTAGAAAAGTTGGGGGGGGGGTTGGGGTGCTGTGCTGATCCTGGGGCTTGAACTCAAGAGCCTGGACACTGTCCCTGAGCCTCTCTGTGCTCAAGGCTAGCACTCTTACCAGTTGAGCCACAGCACCACTTCTGGTTTTTTTCTGCTTATATGGTACCAAGGAATCGAACCCAGGGATTCATGCACACTAGGCAAGCACTCTACTAGTAAGCCCCTGGAAAAGTCTGAATACAATCTTTACTTTAAAAATTAACAGAGTTAGAAAAAAATGAGTTCTGCCACTACAGAGGGGTCACATGCCTAGAATCATAGCTACTCAGAAGGCTGAGATCTGAGAGTCCCTTTTGCTAAAATCTATCTGATCCCCAATAAATCAGCAAAAAGCCAGAAGTGGAGGTGTAGCTCCAGTGGTAGAGCACCAGCAGAAATCAAGATGTATATACTCATAAACTGACTTGTTGAATTGAAACCCCTTTGTACAACTAGTCAAAGATTAATTTTTTTTTTTGGTCCGGTCCTGGGGCCTGAGCTCTGGGCCTGGGCACTGTCCCTCAGCTCTTCAGCTCAAGGCTAGCACTCTACCACTTGAGCCACAGCGCCACTTCCGGCTTTTTTTTCTGCTTACGTGGTGCTGAGAAATCGAACCCAAGGCCTCATGCATGCAAGGCAAGCACTCTACCACTGAGCCACCTTCCCAGCCCAAAGATTAAATTTTTAATTACATAAATTAAAAAAAAAGAGCCTAGAAAGAACCAGGCCCTAAGTTCAAGCCTGACCTGCCACTCCACCCCCTAAAAAAAAAAAAAAAGCCCAAGATAACTCTATGGTTGTTATAAGGACATCAGTTAATGAAGCCACTAATGAAGCCATAAGATGGGATAAATCAATCTTTGCTTTTCTATATTTTTATTATCTGTAAGTAGGTGTTCACAGGACGTTCAGTCTGAGCACAATGCATCTTGATCAAGCTTGTCACCCGTTTATTCATAAACAGCTTGCTACTTAATGTCCGAGGGGATGCAATGCGTCCTGGCCAGGCTACATCCCAAATACGTGGTCCCTCGTTCCTTATGCTGATTTAAATGATGCTTTCGGGGATGGGATTCCCCCCCGCCCCCCGGGGGCAGGGGTGACCCTCTTCCTACTTCCTGACTCTGGCCGCCCCCTCCCCTCTCCCCCTCCCCCTCCCCACACCCCCTCCCCACGCCCGGCCCCGCCGGGACTGACAGCGCAGCAGGATGCAGTTGGTGTCTTCCTGGCAGGTCACCCAGCTCAGCGAGTCGCCGAGCGGCCGCCGGCACCCGGAGCACAGGAACACCAGCGGGGTCTCCTCCTCCTCGGGCCCCGGGCCCCGGGCCCCCGTCTCCTCCGCCGCCGCCGCCTCCGCGGCCTCCGTGCGCGACGCCTTCTCCGCGCCCGCCTCCGACTCGTCCCCGCCGGAGGAGTTCCACATGCTCGTCCACTTCTGCAGCAGCTGGTGGCGCCTCGAGTCTTCGGACAGCCGCCTGCCCAGCAGCGAGGGCTCGCTCCACTTGCCCTGGCGGTCACACACGCAGGAAGAAGACGAACTTCCTTCGCAACAACCGGGAGACCAGGCGCCCGCCATTACCTACAAATCTCCCGCGCTCCACAGCTGCCGGGCACAAAAAACCTCCGGCGCGTGCGCGGAGGCGGAGCCAGGGAGGCTGCCGGGGCGGGGTTTAAGTCTTAGGGGCGGGACAAAGGGTCTGGGGGCGGGGCCTGGGAATTGAGACGGCATCTAGTGCGCATGCTCACCGCCGGGGAGGCCATAGGCGGGGCGGGGGCGGGGACAGGAGCGGGGAGGTGGGGGAAGACGCGGTGCGGGGTGGTCACTGCGCCTGCGTCAGTCCTTCCTTCGGAGGGCAGTAGAGGGAGGTAAAGAGCGGGGCCGTCAGCTCCGGAGAGGCTGCCCTCCCTTACGGTGGGAGGGGCGTCGTCATTGAGAAAGGTGTGGGTCGCACCTAGACCTTCACAATGGTTCGTAACAGCTGCTGCGCTGGCGTCCGGCACCCACGTGGAGGATGCGCACAAAACCCCTCAGACTGCGGCGAGCCGGGGAGGCGGCCGAGCCTGGGCCGCGGGCCCCACGGACGCCTTCGGGACGGGGCGGGGGGTGGGGAGGAGACTGCCGAGGGTTCGGGACCGCTGTCCCCGGATGGAGGGCGGGCAGCTCCCGGCTTCCCAGCAGCCCTGCCCACTCGAGCTGCTTCGCCCTTTTCCTTGCAGCGCCGGTCGGAGTGATCCCAGGCCCTGGGAAGTTTCTATCCCAGAAATGAAGCACAAAAGCGATCTGTGCAGTTTCCAGCAAAGTGGACCTTTAAAAGCAAAGAAACTGGGGAAGTGGTAGAGAGCTGGCAGTGGCGCTGTGGCTCAAGTGGTAGAGTGCTAGCCTTGAGCTGAAGAGCTGAGGGACAGCGCCCAGGCCCAGAGTTCAGGCCCCACGACCGACAAATACACAACAAACCTGGGTGCAAATAACACATGTTAGTCTGGCTAGTGCTAGAAGTAGAGACAGTGGGAGAGGGAATATATAACTAGTGGAAAGAGGGACAGGAAAGGGAGAAGAAATGAATAAGACCATAACAATTTGCTGGAATAATTTTGGCGGTATTTTTCAAAATGTTTGCAATAGGCTTGAATTCAGGGCTTCACACCTGAAGCTCTGTCATTTCTACCACTCCCCTAGGTCTTCTGGCTTACTTTTCAGGTAGGGTATGATATTTTTTCCCAGGTTGGCCTGGATTTTGATCCTCCTATTTCCACCTCCCATATAGCTTGAGATAACAAGTGGGAGTTAGCGTGCTAATTGAGGTCTCACTAATTTTTTGCTCAGATGGCCTCCAGCCACAATGTCAGCCTTTCAAGTAGCTAGCTGAAATGACAGATATGAGCCACCACACCAGATCCTGATCTTTTTTTTTTTTTGGTAAATTATTGATTCATAAAAGGTACACTGACAATTGAGGAAAATCAGAAATTAATGGCTGTTGATTACAATCAAAGTAGATTTTCATTGCATTTTCCAGAAGAATGACAATGAGGCCTGATTGCATGCCACTGGAGGTAGGCAGCTGGCTTCTCTAGGGTGTAGAGGAGACAATTAGCTGGAGCTCCAGGAGAGGACAATTTGATCCAGCTATTGGTGACAGAGATGTGTGTGGGAGCCCAATTGGTACCCGGGGCTGCCGTCCCACACCAGCTGGCACCTGGAGCCCTCCATGGTGTGCACTAAGCCCAGAGACCATCTCCCACGATGAGCACTCTCCTTAGGGGAAGAAGCTGCATTGTGGGAAAGTACAGATCATATTTATATCTGTGTTTCAGGGGTGAAACAATTACTACAGGAATATGCTTCAGCTTCTTAACAATCCTTGGTGGCAGGATGTTTTATTTAGTGCCTTGACTTGATAGGCAATATAACTAAGATATATCCAAACTTAAAACTTAACATGCACTAGATAGTGCCTTTAGTTTTCAAAATACATTTTGTTATGGTAGCACTGGGGTTGGAACTCATGGACTCATGCTTTCTAAGCAGGCTCTCTCCCACTTGTGCCACACTTCCCAGGCTGACACAGAACCATACCTAGCTCCTGGTTGAGGTGAGGCCTTGCTAACTTTTCACCTAGGCTTACCTTAAACCACAATCTTCCAGTCTCTCCCCTATGAGATTACAAGTATAATCCATTGCACCCAGCTCAAAATATACTTTTTTGAAGAGGTTAACTCTAAGGAGTTATAATAGTATGTAAGAGGAAAAATTATTTCCAATAAGGAATTCTTAACTATCATCACTTTCTTTCCAAGCATTCCTATTATTCCCTAGTTCGGACACAACCAGAGGAAGGTTTCAGTTAGGGATACTTTTCAAGCTATCATTTGAATAGATGCTCAATACCTATAGATCTCCCTGTTAAACAAAAGAGTGTTCATCAAACTGAACACAGCCTAATCGAAAAATGGGGGCTATAACTTTGGAATCTGGCATAATCACAGAGATCCAGAAGTATTACAAGTTAATTCTTAGAGAACTTAGGGAAACATTATTCTTCTTAGAGAACTTAGGGAAACATTGCATCCATTAAAGACAAAGGCACAGAAAATAGAATAAATACCTAAGAAATGTAGGAGGTGGGAGAAAGAAGGCCAAAGCCTTCAGTTTAGGATGGTGCCTGTGGTGTTTCAAATAGAAAGAATGAATGAGCTGGATGCCAGTGGCCCACACCTGTAATCTAAGCTACTCAGGAGGCTGAGATCTGAGGATCATGGTTCAAAGCCAGTTGGGGCAAGAAGATCTGTGAGACTCTTGAATCCAATTAATGACCAGAAAACCAGAAGTGGCACTGTGACTCAAAGTGGTAGAGCACTAGCCTTGAGAAAAAGAGCTCAGGACAGCACCTTGGTCCATGACCAACAACAAAACAAAACAAAAAAGAATGAGAGAGGGAATAATCAAATAATACAGTATCTCACAACTAACATGTAAGACTCTTCAGATTATTATGATACACAGATAGTCCAGCACAAAAAAAATGAAATACTCTTACATCGAGGCTTAAAAATGTAAAACATTGAAAGATTTTGAATTTTCTTTTGGAAGGGATTGCTGAAGATTAAACCCAGGACCTTTTAGATGCAACCAGGTCCTACTGAACTACTCTCTCAGTTCCAAGATTTTACAATCTTAAGATTCCAAAAGTTGTGAAGAATAGAAAAAAAGGTCAGGTGCTGGTAGCTCACAGCTGCAATGCTAGCTACTCAGGAAGCTGAGACCCGAGGATCACAATTCAGAGCCAGCCCTTACAGAAAAATCTGTAAGACTCTTATCTCCAGTTTATCAGCAGAGAGCTGGAAGTGGAACTGTGGTTTAAGTGGTAGAATGCCAGCCTTGAGTGAAAAAACTAAGCAAGAGCAAGAGGCCCAGAATTCAAGGCTCAGTGTGTGTGTGTGCGCACACACACACACACACACACACACACACACACACACACAGAGTATCTGAGTGGCATTAGACATCTCTTCAGCTTTTGAATTCAAAAGCTAGAAAGTTTGCAGGTCAGAGGACAAATGTTTTCAGATTCGTGTTATATATCCATTTAAATCATGATCTATGTACAGCTGACTTTTAAACTGTAAACTTTTTATATTTTACTTATTTTGCCATACTGGGGACTGAATTTAAGACCTCATGCTTTTTAGGAGAGGCACAGAAATGGAGGGAAGAATGGTGAACAAAGGCGGTCATAGTTTTCCATATACACTAAGTGGAGAATGAACTATGTAACTTGTGAGCAGGGACAGGAGGAGAAAACTGGGGGAAAGCAAAGGAAGGGGTGACGGTTGTCCAAAAAGAATTGTACTTACTTCTGAGTTATGGAATGGTAATCCCATGTACAAAACCTTAATGAAATTATATTTAAAAAAAGATGTAGGAAGATAGGTCACAGTAATAGAAAAGTAAAGATTTACTATAAGAAAAGATTCTCTACATTTTTGTTTTTATTTTTTTATTTTTATTTTTTTGGGTCCAGTCGTGGGGCCTGAACTCTGGGCCTGGGCGCTGTCCCTCAGCTCTTCAGCTCAAGGCTAGCACTCTACCACTTGAGCCATAGCACCACTTCCGGCTTTTTTCTTTTTGCTTATGTGGTGCTGAAGAATCAAACCCAGGGCCTCAGGCATGCAAGGCAAGCGCTCTGCCACTGAGCCACCTTCCCAGCCCTACGTTTTTATTTTTAAACTGTATGGAAAACCAAGAGCTTGGGGTGCCTTGCATGCGTGAGGCCCTGGGTTCAATTCCTCAGCATCATATAAGCAGAAAAAAAGCTGGAAGTGGCTCTCAAGTGCTCAAGTGGCAGAGCACTAGCCTTGAGCTGAAGAGCTGAGGGACAGCGCCCAGGCCCAGAGTTCAGGCCCCATGACTGACAAAAAGAAAAAAGAAAACTAAGAACTCACCTATTAATTTGCTAAAATCCCTACGTTTGACAGTATACCTGTTGTAAAGAAAGAAAACAGAACTTGATTACAACCTTCATGGAATAGAATTTGACACTAACACCACTGCATACAGGTCATGGATAGACATGTGCAGAAAGCTACCTCTGCTGTGTTCAAATTCTAGGCTTGAATTCAGGGCCTCGGCACTGTCATTGAACCTTTTTATTTCTTCTCAAGGGTAGTGCTCTATCACTTGAGCCACAGCTCCACTTCCAGCTTTTTGGTGGTTAAATGAAGATAAGAGTCTAATGGATCTCCTGCCCTGGCTGGCTTCAAATCCCAATCTCAGGTCTCAGCATCCTGGATAGCTAGGATCACAGGTGTGAGCCATTGGCACCCAGCTTAGCTGCTACTCTATTGAAAGAGGAAGCAGGTGACTCCTTCACTCACCCCTTTCAGTCTGTCCCTCGTCACTTCCCACTTCCACTCTTCCCTCAGGTCTACATCGTTTAGGAGGCAGATGAGAAATAGTTTTTAGCTTTGCATTTTGAAATTTTAACATTAAGCAAAGGTTAAAAATAATGCAAAGACTTCCCAATCTTCAATACAACCAAGAAAACAATATTGCTAGAATATTTATTAGACTGTAGA